TGATAGGTCCCCTTTAAGACATAAATAAAAGCACAACAATCAATATATACAAAATAACAGTCGCTTCAATAACTTTGAGAAATGTGCATTAGTGCAAAATTGTCCATAGCAGCGTAAAAAGTGTCTGGTGCTGGATTTGAGTGTCTGAGTGTGTGTGGGGGTGTTACAAATAAATGACTAATAATTTGGCAAACTATCACATTTGATGCATCAATGAAGAGCTTTCTAATAAATCTGCTCTCTGTTCTCCACTTCCTGTCCCAGCTGTCCACCTCAGCAGGATACATCCCCTGGAGAGCCATCCTAACGTCCGGCCCGCTGTGGGCCATCGTGGTCGCTCACTTCTCCTACAACTGGACCTTCTACACGCTGCTCACGCTGCTGCCCACTTACATGAAGGAGGTGCTGGGGTTCAGCATTAAGCAGGTGAGGGCCACGTCACACACATTCATCTGTGGAGCTGATCGCTGATGGGATGAGTTGTGAGATTAAACGGGCATGTTAACACATTATTTAAGTAAAATACAATTAGATGTCAAAAGGTTACAAAATTCAAAGACAGAGTTCATAGTCAAGCATCTTTTCTTGTCCTCAACAGAACGGGATGCTGTCGGCTCTTCCCTACATCGGCTGTGTGGTGTTAGCGGTGCTGAGCGGTCAGCTGGCCGATCACCTGAGGGAGACCTGGCTCGTCCGCACCGTCATCGTCAGGAAGGTCTTCTCCATCGTTGGTGAGGAGGACTGTCTATAACTATATTACTGTGTGAGGCTCTAAAGTCTAGCTACACCATGTGTGCTACTTCTGAACAGAGGTGGGAAGTAGTGGAGTACAAATACTTTGTTTCTGTACTTAAGTAATATTTTCTGGTATCAGCACTTTACTCCACTTCTTATTTTTCTGACGACTTTTTACTTTTACTTCTTACTTGTTGAACACAAATATCTGTACTTTCTACTTCTCACATTTCCCAAACACCTGTACTTTCTACTTCTTACATTTTCCAAACAGGCTGGTTCCTTTAGTCTGAATGTGTGTTTGGTGGCGTGATCATTATTATTTAGAGTCATTGCGTGCCTATTGATTTGAACACGATCCGTGTATCCATCATTTCCTGGTCTTCTCTAAAGAAGAGGGACCAATGAAAACGTTGTCATGTTGCCGTTGTTCACCATGGAAACATTCATTAGCTAACAATGACATTATTGTTCTATTAATATAAAGGGAGGTCAGGTACTCTTTAAAACAGCTGCTAGTTATGGGTACTTTTTACTGAAGTACATTTCAAAGCCTCTTTACTTTGACTTGAGTAAAGAAGTTTAGTCAGTACTTCTACTTTCACCAGAGTATTTTTAAACACGAGTATCTGTACTTCTAATTGAATAAAGGACGTGAGTACTTTTGCCCCTCTCTTCTGAACCACCTGATGGTTTGTTTCTGCAGGGATGTTGGGGCCAGCCGTCTTCCTGGTGGCGGCGGGGTTCACCGGCTGTGACTACACCCTGGCTGTGACCTTCCTCACCCTCTCCTCCGCTCTGGGGGGGGTGTCCGCCTCCGGCTTCAACATCAACCACCTGGACATCGCTCCTTCGTAAGAATCACCAAGTTAATCAACTAACATCTTAGTGCTCATCATCCAGGAAAACCTCAAAGTTAAACTGACAAACAAAATAACTTATGTCATAAAAATTGTTGTTGCCCCCTTAAATTCAACACTTATGAGTAATTTAGTTATACATTATGCATTTTAACTTTCAAATGTTTAATGTCAGAATTGTACAATAATGTAATGTGTCATTTTGTCCATAATTATAAATCCTGAGAAAGTACAGGAACATTTCATTTATAAGAATATGTTCTGGTGCACCATTGGTGTAAAGAGATGAATTGTATTGAAGTGAAAGCTGTTAAATTGTAGTCAACACTGTCGTGGGTATTTTAACAATCATGTACTCGTTATGTTTCTAGGTATGCTGGTATTCTCCTGGGAATCACCAACACGTTTGCCACCATTCCTGGCATGGTGGGCCCAGTCATCGCAAGGACCCTCACCCAACAGGTGAGACGTGTACCCTCACCCTTCATTAACCCTTACATTGAAGCAGTGATAGTTTGGTGTTTCAAAAGGTTGAGATCCCTCCTGAGCTCCAGCGTCTCTTACTAAACAGATGGGATCCTTACTCGGCTTGATACTTCATTTCCTGTTTAATTGGTTTAGTCAGAGCAGGATTAGGGTTTCTTTGTCTGGTTTTCTGGATTCAAACAGACAGTACTCCATGTGGTCTCTGCTGTTGTAGCACGCTACCCTTTAATACAGCAGATCATTGATTTTGGCATTTAGCCATCACACACAGAACAAAACCGTTTATTGGCCAACTATCCAACCATTATCGTAATTCATATTATCAACAATGGCAACCAGGTGAAGAATATCCTCCCACTGCCAGACCTCCACAGCCCCAGAGAAACGTCTGGCTCCACGTGTAATAACGCTGGTTCAGGAGAAATGCCCTCGCTTGTTTGAGTTTCTTTAAACCAATCAGAGTGATCTTGTGTGGCGCTAAGCTCAGGATGCAGTGACAGTGCCATAACAAAACAGATAGTACTGTTAGTGGGGGGAGGGGG